CGATTTCTGGGAGAATCTCTGGCGAGAAATGGTAAAGAAGAGTTTCCTCAGCGGCCACGCCAACTTTGCATCCGTGTTTCCCTGCCGCAACTACAAAAAATACTGGCCGAAAGGGGCCGAGGTGTATCGCGGCGACTTTGGCCAGCCCCTGAGGAACCCCCTCCTGCTGTCGTCCATGACGCACGATCCGGTCACGCCGCTTGTAAATGGCCGAAAGCTCCTCCGCGAAATGGGTACGAAGAACGCCCGGTTAATTGTTCAGCATGGGTACGGCCACGGTTCGTGGGCACATGTGTCGAATTGCACGGATCGCCTTTTCCGCGCTTACCTTTTGAATGGCACTATCCCTGACAAGGCGGAAACCCATTGCTATGCTGATGTGAAACCGTATCGGCCCGTCCCCAAAGCGGGCAGTAGGCCGGGCTTGGCCGATCTTGAAGCTGCTTACCAGGCTACCATTCCCCGATTCTAATCCCCGAGACCAGTCGGCTGTACTGAGTGCGGAGATGTCCCCGTAGTTGGTGATGCGGCACCGCGTGCCTGGCATTTCGGACCCGCCATGGGCTCGACTCGCGACCCAAGTTTTCTTTGGCGAACATGCAATAAAGGGCATAGCTAGGCGTTCATAGGCTTGAATTTGATTCTTGGCTCGTGTTCAGTTTCCCGCAGCAGCAGCAGCGCCAGATATTCTCCACAGCCTCCTTGTACTTGAAAATTGATGACATGGGATAAAATCTCGCGGAAATATTAGATCCCAAGACACCGAGACGGATTCCAATTGCGTCTGGTGCCAGCGTAGAGGTACACATCACCCCGTCATAGTAACATCCTCACCGTCTTCACTGCCCTCCTCGTCGGCATCCTCCCTATCCAGGTCATCCCACCTCGTCGGCGTCATGGTCGACAGTTCGATATGCCTTGTCGCACCCTCCCCGAACCCCACGGGGTACCCTTCCAATCTCGTTGCCAGACTCGGTCTGCCCCTCGGCCGCCTGCCCACTTGTTTCTTTGGCTTCTCGGCATCGTGCTCCTCGCCAATCTTTTTCCGTCTCGGTCTGTAAGACACAGACTTTTTGTCGTCCCAATCTTTCCCTTTGCCGTCGGTGGCGTAGACGGTGACTTGGTCCTTGTCGCCCTTTTTAATCTTGAACGCCATCAGGTTCTCGAGGAAGTTGGCTTGTTCTGCGCGCTCGCCCGTCTTGTCTTTGCCCCGAGGGATCCGGATGTTCCATTCTTCCTTGATGGGGGCGAGCTTGTCCACAGCGGGTATTTTGGGGCGGGGCATCTTTTCGCTCGTCATGATGCGGGAGGAACTGGCTGCCAGGAGGGAGATGTCGCCCGGCAGCGTGCGGAGCGAGGGGAGCGCGGCCGAGTCGTCGGAGGGCGGCGTGCCGGCGAGGATGACCTCGGTGCCAATGACCTCTGCCCAGTGGCCTTGGAAGAGGCGGCCTCTGTAGGAGAAGAGGGGGCTGGGCGTGTGGAGGTCCAGGACTTGGATGTCTCCCGTCTCCAGGGGTTCCTCCTGGGCTTGGGCGGGCTGGGCTTCTTCTTGGTGTTTTGGCGTGTCTACGGGCGGAGGCGTTGTTGCCTTGTCCTTGCCCTTGTCGTTGCTCATGGCCAGGAGGGCCGGGTCCAGCGGCGTGCCGTCATCCTCGTAGTCTTGCCCTGCGGTGATTTCCTCGTTGTCGCTGTTGTCGCCGGCGGCTTGTCTGGCCTCTTGCGGCGGCGGCTTGGGAGTTTCGCGCGGCGCGTCCTGTTCCGCCCAGTTCCTGTAGTATCCGCCGCGACTGTGCTGAGGGATTCTGGCTGCGCGCTCTTTGAACTCGGGACACGAGAGTTCTACTGTGAGGTAGAATGTCTGTTGTGAAAATCTGTGAGCGATGATGCAAAGAAGAGAGAGAGAGAGATGGACCTACCTCTGTCTCTGTGGCGGAATACTCGTACTCCCATTCTTCCTGGTCGTCGTTGACTACCTGGGCGAGGACCTGGTCGAGAGGCAAAGCCCCGGGTTCATCCGGGGTAAACACGCTCTTTGGTCTCTCCATTGCCATGTACAGTGATGAGACGATTTCAGTAAGTGAGTGGGTTAAAAAAAAATTAGGGCGACTATCGGGGCAAAAACCGGACGCCCAATCCCGATTTGTACAATTTTGCACTCTTCACACCCTGCTCTTTCTTTGGATTACAAGAGACGAGCATACGATTTGTTAGCCGTGAAAGCCTGGATAAAATACATATAATATAATGATATTTGTTTGCTTGGTTTCAATGTAAGTGAGTGGCGAGTGGTGAGTGGTGAGGCGTTGTCGGTTCTGTCAATCTGCTTTTGAACTATACTGTTTTTGGCCAGGTGGCAAGGATCCAGCCAGCCAGCCAGGGTTAGACACCCAACACTCACTCTTCTCTATCGATAAAACCACGTGGGGCTCAAATGCCCCGCCATCGCAACCGAATTTCCATGGCACTTCCGTGTCGTATGCGCCTTTGTCGGCATTCAAGATTGAGTCACCTTCTTGTTATGCGCCTACTTCCCCCGTAGCCAGCTCAAAAATCCGACCATCCATAATTTGCCCTCAGCTAGGATCAGTGACTCCAATCACTGCGAAACCTTCATATTGTCCCTTGGCCTCCAACCGCATCCTCGCCCCCCCACCTCCTCTTTTGTCGCATCAGATCGCTTCTTCGCGATTTCTCATAGGGGGGCTCACAATGCCCAAGGTTCACTTGTTGGACTATGTCGCCGGCAACATTCGCAGTCTGGTCAATGCCGTAGAGAAGCTGGGTTATGAGGTCGATTGGATCCGGTCGCCAGAAGATGTATCCCGAGCAGAGGTATGCATCACACCACCTCCCCCAATGCGGATAGGAAACCCCAGAAAAAGGAGAGAGAGAGAGAGGGAGGGAGAAGAGATTTGATTTTCGCGGGGGAGGGCGAAATGAATGAGTCGAAATTTCTAACCAAGATATCTAGAAACTCATTCTTCCTGGAGTAGGCCACTTTGGCCACTGTCTCTCCCAGCTCTCCCAGGCAGGCTACCTGCCCGCCATCCAGAAACACATTGACGAGGGCAAACCCTTCATGGGCGTGTGTGTCGGCCTGCAAGCCCTCTTCGAAGGGTCCGTCGAGGACCCCGACGTGCCCGGGCTCGGTGTGGTGAAGGGATCCCTGGGCCGCTTCGACGACTCGACCAAGTCAGTTCCGCACATTGGCTGGAACAGCGCCAGCACCGCCGGTCAGTCCATGTACGACTTGGGCCCAGACTCAAAATACTACTACGTCCACACATACCGCTTCCCCTACGTCAAGGGCCAGCTGGAAGGCCAAGGATGGACCGTCGCGACAGGCACCTACGGCACGGAAACCTTTGTCGGCGCCGTGGCCAAGGGCAACATCTACGCAACACAGTTCCACCCGGAGAAGTCGGGCGTCGCAGGCCTGCGAACCCTCCGCGCATTCCTCAACGGCCAGGGCGCCAAAGCCCTGGGTTCGCCATCCTTGCCGGTCGATCAAGCCTCTTCTGAGGCCAAGGACGGCCTCACCCGCCGCGTCATAGCCTGCCTCGATGTCCGCACCAACGACCAGGGCGACCTCGTCGTCACAAAGGGCGACCAGTATGACGTCCGCGAAAAGAACGACGCCCGCGACGTCCGCAACCTCGGCAAGCCCGTCGAAATGGCCAAGAAGTACTACCACGACGGCGCCGACGAAGTCACCTTCCTCAACATCACGTCCTTCCGCGACTGCCCCATCGCCGACCTCCCCATGCTGGAGGTCCTGCGCCAGACATCGCAGACCGTCTTCGTGCCGCTCACCATTGGCGGCGGCATCCGCGACACCGTCGACACGGACGGCACAAAGGTCTCCGCGCTCGAAATCGCAACAATGTACTTCAAGTCGGGCGCGGACAAGGTCTCCATCGGGAGCGACGCCGTCATCGCCGCCGAGGAGTACTACTCCCTCGGCCGCAAGCTCTTCGGCAACACGGCCATTGAGCAGATTTCCCGCGCGTACGGGAACCAGGCCGTCGTCGTGAGCGTGGACCCCAAGCGCGTCTACGTGCCCAAGCTCGACGCCACCCGCCACAACATCATCGAGACCAAGTTCCCCGGCCCCAGGGGCGAGCCGTACTGCTGGTACGCTTGCACCATCAAGGGCGGCAGGGAAACGCGGGACATGGACGTCGTCGAGCTGGCGCAGGCGGTCGAGGCCATGGGCGCCGGCGAATTGCTGCTGAACTGCATCGACAAGGACGGCTCAAATACCGGCTTTGATCTCGAGCTCATCACCCAGGTCAAGAATTCCGTCAAGATTCCCGTCATTGCCTCCAGCGGTGCTGGCAACCCGGGCCACTTTGAAGAGGTCTTTAGCAAGACTACGACGGATGCCGCCCTCGGCGCCGGCATGTTCCACCGCGCCGAGTATACAGTCAAGCAGGTGAAGGATTACTTGAAGGACAAGGGCCTCGTAGTGAGGCAATTTGAACAAGACCTGTCATGATATAGATGAATAAGGCGGCACACTTCACAGTTGGCGTGTTCATTTAGCACTTGGCCCATGTTTTGGGGATCAAAAGATCATTTTATTCAATTTCCACCAACTCCTCAAGGCTAAAAAGTTTCAATTCGTGTGTCCATGATGCTGCGACCTGCTTCTCCGGTAGGTAATTGATACAATCAAATCAAACCACTCTTAAATGCTGTAACGCCACCGGAAAGATACATTCCAGACCGAGGGTAGACAAATTAATAGGACACGAAAGGAACAAGAAAGAAAAACAAAAAGTAGACGCTGCGCCAGGCTAACATTCCATCTGCCCAACGCCGGAAAGCATTTTACCGCTCATGGCCAAGCTGCAAAACAAAGAAAACGCGGCAAAATGGCTACGAGACGAAGTTGGAGAGAGGGCAAACGAGTTTGACAACTCAAGTCCGGGTTCGAAACAGGAGATTCTAATGTGGCCAAACTCTGGGTCCAGGAGACGAGGGATACACAATCACTCCTAGAGTTCCATGCCCATAAATACCCACCGTTTGCTCGTTACATCGAGGTGATTTGCCCAGTGGTCTAGAGTGGTCATTTCGAATCCAACCCACTGAAGGCTCTTGGTCAATTCGTGTGCTTCCTCAAAGGGTATGCGGCGATCAATGCAAGTCACGATGTGTGCACATTCCAAAGGGCCATCGGCAAGTTCGATAAGAGCCATAAGACTAATAGGACAAATCGTCAGAATGAGGTTCAGTCATCGCAAAATATCTAACAAGGGAAAGGGTAACTCACGCTTTCTTGAGATCTCGTCCCATGACACCTTCAATGTCAAAAAAGACAAACAAGGATTTCTCCTGTCCGTTATTTGCCACAAAGGCCCGAAAGCTCGCACCACCAGCGTAATCCCAAACTTCCATCCAGGCATCGACTTCAAATCCCTGCGACTTGATGTCCATGCTCTGCCGGAAGGCGTCGGATAACCGGCTCTCTGATGGCGGCGTTTGTAAATAAGCACCTGACAGGCCGGAGCCATTCATCGACAGGTTCCTCTCACCGTGGAATGCTGTCTTCATGGGCTCACAAAAGAATCTCTCACATTCTTCCCTGATCGTGAGTGCTGCCCCCCCTCGTCGCTCCGGGCGACGGTGGCCCGAATTGTCGCGCTTCTTGTTCTTCGGAAGAAGAGCGAGCTCGTTAGACGAAGTCAGCGCGGCGAGGGGGGGGCTTGTTGGAGGAGAAGGTAGTCCTGAGGTAGGGACCTCAGGAATACCACTCCGCCCCTTGAGATTAGTCAGTAAAACAAACCGGCGATTAGATATAAAAAATAATGATGATGATGATTTGAAGGCCGTCACAAATAACCGAACCACACGGGATATAGCGTTGTCAAGTCAGAGGAAGTCTTGGAGAACATACCTGCAGCCCCGGTAGTGCAGTAGTGGATGCCCTTGAGCTGGGCAGCTGAGTCGACAATGTAGCAGGAGGCAAGGACGTTGACTCGGGCAACGACGTCCTCGCCGTAATTACTACTACAATTCAAATTCTGGTTACTTAAAAGCGCCATTGTTATCGTTGTTCCACGATTACTATCTTGAGAGGATTCGGTGGATTCGATGATAGGTCGTCGCTGGCAAGTTGGCTGGCGACGTCGGCGGAGTGAGTTGAAGTGGCGACTGGATGGTGCAGTAATGTGGGTGCTAGATTGATGATTTGAATCGAAGAGAATCTCGTAGAATTATTCGGTGAGACAAAGATGCAATCGATAGAAGATCGGAAGGTGGTGCTGCGAAAGGCGGCTGCGTGGAAAAGCGAGGTTGAGATGGACTTGTGCGGTGCAACGTGTGTGGATTGGGAGAAGAAAAAGCAGAACTGCTGGTGTCGGGGGGGAGAGCGGTGACAAGTCACCTGAGACACCCCGACTGGATCCTTCGATGTCCAGTCATTTCGTGGCGGACCACCAGAGCCAGCTGTGAAACGCCATGCACCATCCGGCCGGATTAGACGGAGAGCGGCGCAGCATGGGAGACTCTGCAGCACTGTCTGCAATGGGGTTTTCGTACCGTGCCGAGAACAAAGACGCAGTACTTCCGGCTAGCTGTAGCCCAGCGAATGGCTTGACAGTTGCTTCGTCTGTACAGTCAGCCTCGCGTCAAAGGCACTGTCTGCGACCACGTGCATACCTTCATCTCCGGCCTGAGGCCTGCCCGCCAAGCCCGACGTAGCCGTCGAGCAAGGCGTCTCGGCGACTAGACAAGTTCGTCATTGCGTCGCCAATTACGTGAATGCAAATTGATGTGACTAATTTTGCAGGAGCACAAGGCTGGGCATGAAGTAGTGCTACTTAACAGTTACACGTCTCCCAATCAATGGTCGAGCCCAATACTCCGCATCGTCTGAAAGAGAGTTACGGAGTACATGAAACTACGCGCTCGTTGGCGGCTAGGTGGGCTCGCCCACTTAGTCGCTGACAGGTAACTTGCACTCGAAGAGGAGATCACAGGCTGCACGGGTATTATTAACCAATCCAAAATACTCCAACAAACGAAATACATCTGAATTTTCGTTTGCATCTGCTCTCCGAGGGACACCCCATCAACTGCGGCAAACGGCATGGTATGCGTCACCAAGCTGTGTAGCAACTCTGAGCTTGGTGACCATCTGCAATTTGTCGGCTTACGCATCGATCGGCACTGTCACTCTTAAGGCCATACTGAGTAACTCTCCTCCTAACACAACATGAAGATCCACATCATACAGATTCTGCTACCACTTACACCGAATATGCATCTTGTTCAACTTTGACAGTTCCGTTTCATCCCCTCTCATTAGCATTATACATGCCTTGCGCTTAGACTCGCAAATGCATCTGGGCTGTGTCTTCCATTGGTCCAAGCCATATCAAGGCCAAGGTTCATACTCTCTCTGCTAACATGCTTATTTGATGCGAAAGGATCCGATTGGGTCGTAGTTTGGTTGATATATGGATTCGTATTCCCAGTTATTGGCTGTGACGGACTGTGTGGTTGCTGGTTTGCCGTGGGCAGTGGCTGGGTCGACTGAGTGTAGATAGCCTGATTTTCTGGTATACTTGGGGTTGTTGTATTCATACTTGGCTCTGTGGCTGCAGGCTTGGGGGTGTATTGTCCAGGTTGATTAAATAGCGCCATTATCGAAGCCTTGTCATGTCGGGGTTTCTGGTAGTACGGCTGTTGGGGTTGCTGAACAGCATATGATTGTTGGACAAATTGCTGTACTTGCGGCTGCGGCTGATGCATGTTGGTAAAGAAAGGATTCGATGATGTCGGAAGCGGTTGGGGTGATGTACTCAGGAACGGCGACTCGGCAAAGTTGGATTGGGCCTGTTCCGGTATCTGTATAAGAGGCGGCGATGCTATTCTCGAAGGGGAGCGCAAGAACGGATTGTTGGCAAACCCTCCTTGTGCCGTTTTCACGGTCAAAGTTTGCGGCGGTGGTGCTGGACTCGACGGTTGGGAGAAGAACGGGTTGTAGCCCGTCGGCATGGGTTGCTGGAGTGAAGAAATCGGCTGCGGATATGTCATGCTGCTCTGGAAGGTCATGGGTTGATAACTTTGAGGGCTAGCGGGAGCAGACGGCGACATGTACTGCTGATACAGTTGCTGCTGCTGTGACATTTGTAATTGATGTACTCCATTAGACTGAGAAAAGAATGTCGGATGAGATGTGGACGTTGACACATGTAGGCCCTGAAACGCCTGACTGAGATCGACTTGCTGCGAAGGAGCTCCGAAAGGATTGTTCGTGCCATTATATGGGTTCTTATTATGCAGCGTGCCTGTAGATTGGGCGGTTTGAGGTTGTGCAGGCGGCATCATATCAAAGGGATTCGTAGACGTGGTCGATGACGACGTTGGTCTATCGAGCATCGGTTTCTGTGGAACGCTTAAGCTCAGCCCGACCCCAGCTGAGCCTGAGTTCGAATTCAATGGAGTCATGGACTTTGTGGCACGCAGTGTAGGTTCTCGAGACGCTGACATAGGTGCTGGGGATGGATTTCTACCCTCTCCTAGTCGGACCAAAGCCTCAACCGCCTGGTCCAGATTGCCGTTGACACCTTTGAGAACGATGGCGTTACGCTGAGGATCCTGAAACCCCATTTCATAAAGTCTTGTCAGTTTCTTGTCGGTTTCATCCGGCCCAGCATAATCGACGGTGGCCCCAAAAAGCCTAGAAGGTTTATTCGGCAATGTCGGGGACGGCACTGCGCTGCCATTCGAACCGCCTAGCACTCGCTGCTCCTTCTTTGCGCGAGACGTTAGGGGGAAAATAGACGAAGCTGATCTGAATCCGAATTTTGTCGAGTTCTTGGGCGGCAGCGGCGGGGGTGTTCCTTCGTCGGATCCTCGGCTTCGCGGCGTGCTGGACTTGACGGCGACATTATGAATGTACTTCTGGCGAATAAAACGCTCCATGGCTGAGTCCGCCTCGTCCGCGTCAATCGGTACCGGTGCTTTTCGACCCTCGGGGTTGTAAATCTGGTTCGAAGTAACGTTGCCAACTTTGCGCATGTTCTAGAACACTCTTGTCAGTCATTCCAAAGCGGCCAGGTCTCATGGTGTAGAGCTGTCGTAGCATACATCAACCTGCTCGTTGGACCAGCTGTCCATACTCAGCGACTTGACTTTGGATATATGAGTCCCTAGCTTTCGGTGTATCGCAGCACAGCGCATACATAAGAAAACGCCCAACTACGAACTGATCAGTATCGGAGGAGATTCGAGCGCCGGTGGGTGGGGATATTTCTTTCATACACTCCATGATGCCCAAGCTGCAAGGGCGGTTTGCGTCAGTAGGTAGGCTGGCCAATTCAAATACACGGAGGAGCTTGAACAAACCTGGGTTCCTCGCGTGACAGTCTGCGCATAAGTTGTTGCCCGGGACATGGTGGACAAGGTCTTGGAGAGCCTTCTCATTGCGCGCTTGCTGGCGCTTACTTAAAGCACTGGCCATGGCGAGGGAAGATTACACGTTATGGTATTGTATAGTACGAAGCAATTTCAAGGGCCCTGTTGCAAGCCAAGTTGGAAGTTGGATATCTTGCGAGAGAAAGGAAGTAGAACGACGGAAATCAAGGTGAAGAGCAGTCGCAGGCGAGAAATAATAGAAGTTATTCAAGGACCATGGCGAGAAGATAAAAGGAAGAAGGGAAAAAAAAGTAAGAGAAAAGGGCAAACGTAAGGCGAGGAGGCAAGGAGTCCAAGTTGGAGGAAACAAAAAGCGACGCAAACAAAGAGATTATCAGAACGCTGTGAGCGCACCTCTCGACTCCCGCCGCCGTTGTGATGTTGGAAACGACTTGACGTTTGACGGATGGTCTGGCCGAAAAGGAGAAGCATCAAGACGTCCTGGCCCGGTTAGCTGCCGTCAAGGGTTAGGCCAGCATTCTCAAGTTGAAAGGTGCGTGCTCTGTGGTGGGGTCTCGAACCCAAAGCATGGCATTCGATCCACAGTGGGGTATCGAGCGCTATTAGCCTGGACGCACGTCCAGACATCAGACATCTAGACCTCTTACCTTCTATGTCTGGTCTGGTGGACTCTGGTCTTCGTCGTCGCAGGCGAGCCGCGGCGGACAAGCCAGGCATCTGGTATTTCAGTGCCTCAGTGATGCCCATCTGCTGCAGTACTGGTCGACGATACTAGTATTGACCAGTTAAGGCTAGCAGCTATCAATGCATTGCCTACAGACATCTGGAACCGTCGACGGTGCACTGGCCGTTGATCCGCCAGTCCCGGCTACCGCTGGCACCGCTGGCACCGGCGGCACAGGCACAGGCGCCACCGCCAAGCACTAGGCCAGACTTGACACATAGAGACTTGAGGCTGGACATTTGAACCATCTTGTCTCTTCAGCGCTCACCGACCCCGCCATGTACTGTATGCCATTGCCATTGCCGTGGGCCAGTGACACCAGTTAACGGTCCAGTCAACATTGGTTCGAGAGGCTGGGGGCATCGTTGTTACCTTTCAGGATTTCAGCACGGCTTTTCGTGTGGTTTCGCATACCTGAGGAGCGTGTCGGGAGTGTGTCGCCCGTGCATTGTGTTTTCTGTCTTGGTTCAATGACAAGACGGCGTCCGACACGGCGCGGTTGCAGGAGCGAGTCAGTAATCGGCCGTGTGCCTCTGGCTGCGAAGTAGGGAATCGTTTGGTCAAAGTTGGTCAAGTTCATCAAGCTGGCAATGCTGCGGAAAGCTCCATGTCCGGTTGACTGGTGCGATACATAAATACAAGGACGGCCTGTCAAACGTCATCAATTGATCAGCTTTGGTCCCATGCGGACACGAGACAGGCTGTCGTCATTGTCGGCAACAAACACAAACAAGTTCGGTTTGGACCGCGAGACACAAGACCCGCCACGTTATTATTTCTGTTTCGCCAAGTTCCGTAGCTTCCCGATATCCGGGGCAGTTTCAAGTCACAGCATTGTACAACTCATAACTACTAGGTGCCTAGGTACATATGTAGTAGTAGTTAGTTGCCTGGTGGTAAAGGCGGTTCGGCGGGAAGAGTTGGCCCGCGCCTCCATCCGTACCCCCAGCCGCGCCTCGAGATGCCGCATCTGGTGAATTGATGGTCGTCGTTCGAGCTGTGGTATCTGCCAATTGTCGCTGCCAGTGGTGAGAGAACTGCAATGCGGACAAGCTGGTTACTTTGGGGCTAACATAACATGGCCGCACGGCTACAGCAGGCTGGAGGGGCACCTTGAAGGTCACATTTCTATTCAATTGATATTCATGACAGGTTGGATGCTGCATGTCAACTGGTTGCGCCGCGGTTCATACAGCCCGGCTCCAGCGCGTGGGCGCTCGGCAATGCTCCATGTGCAAGTGCTGTCAAGTGCTCAACCCATGCAGCCCCCCTGGAGCCCCAGTGGAACTCCCCATGTCCAGTGCTGGCCGGGTCGGCCGCCATTGATCACTTGACTGGTCCCAGATGGCAGCACTTGAGCTGTGCTAACTCTCCGCAGCCCTGTTCGCGACGCCCGACTGCAGTACTGCGCATGATAATGCCTCGGCCACCCAGCTCTGCATCAGCTCTGCATCTCTCCAACATTCCCTGCATCTCCGTCCGGGCTTCCTTAGCTTCCGAGTTCCCCAGCAATCGCGGGTTGCCGGGACCAACAGTGACGACAGCCACGGTTTCCCCCTAGCCAAGCCGGATCTTGCAAGTCGTGCGAAGTCGATAAAAAGGCTCTCCTCCATGTGCTCTTCTCAGACGGTGCTTTCCAGCCACACTCTCTACCACCACCATTAAAGTTGTCGTCTCTCACACCAGGGCCACGGTGCCACGACACCCATCATGGCCGGCATTGAGAAGCTCGAGGTCCACAGCAAGGTAAGAGACACCTGCTGCTCTCATCTCCCCGCGCCAGTGTCGCCCAGCGTCCAGCATCGCTTCTTGAACCCTTTCTTACCCCAAACAGTCCTACATAGTCCGATGGGTGAGGGTCGACGAAGATAATACCCTCTCGTGGAGTGTGCAGCCGAACAAGAAATCAATGTGAGTCATCTCAAAATAGAGCCGTAACATCGCCGCATTCGCTGACAATATTCCATCACCAGTAACTTCGGTATTGTTAAACATCCGGGCAGCGGCGCAACGACAATCCTCTCCGCGAATGGCGACGTACTCGACGGTGCTCCAGTTCAAGGAACCACAGATGGCAAAGGTGGTCGATTTCCCAAGAAGGAGACTACCGCGCAAGACTTGTTGACCGGCAAGGGCTTCATCCCGATCTCCTGGCATGGGAAATGCGAAGCGGACAAGGTCTCCAGAGGCACACATGATGTTCATGCAGGCGAAGGCGGCATGTATGGCCTAGTTTTCGACAACACTTTTTCCAAGCAAACCTCAAAGACAGCTACATTTGTTGTTCTCACATATCCGACTGGCGCGCCACCTCAAACAACCAACCATCTGCCGAACCTGCAGTTGCCGAATGCTCAGACCAGTCAGTCTAGCTTGGGCAAGCATGGGAGCCCTTATAATGAGAATGGTCCTTCGACCTCGGTTGATAGTCTTCCAAGTCATGGCCGCGCGAGGGCGCAATCTTCAGCTGCCAAGAGTGATGCTACCGGAGTCCCTCCGAACTATCATGTCGGTACACTTTCAAAGAGACGGCGCAAGAAAGGACAGGGCTATGCTCGCCGCTTCTTTTCACTGGACTACTCAACTTGCACTCTGTCATACTACTACAATCGAAACTCGTCTGCCTTGCGGGGAGCCATCCCCCTCAGTTTGGCTGCCATTGCAGCAGATGAGCGAAGAAGAGAAATCAGTATTGACTCTGGTGCCGAGGTTTGGCATCTGCGGGCACCCAATGACAAGGAATTCCAGGATTGGGCACGGGCGCTGGAGCGAGCTAGTCGCCTTGCTCGAGGTCTCGAGACACTGGCAAAGCCCTCAAAACCTAGTTTGAAGCTCGATGGCCATGCGCTCAAGAGGACACAAGATCCATACCATAGTGAAACCGTTGAATGGCAGCAGGTTGAGACCCTTGTCAGTCGTGTTGTGGGCACTCGCGATGCTCTCCGCAGATTGACAAAAGATGTCGCTCAGTTGCCAAAACCTTCGCCAAACGGACAGTTCCTCTCCCCCGGCTTTGGAACCCCCAACGAGGAGAACAAGGACAGTTATTTCCCTGCGACGGTGGAGAAGAAGCCGTTCTGGAAACGAAAGTCTAGTGCCCCATCACTGTCAACCTCCCCCAACCAACAAACCACTCCATCAGCCCTGGCCGTGCCTTCGCTTGCCAGTGCCACTAGCAGTGCGGAAACCGTGACCCGTCAGGCGTCCAAGAGGAGGTCTCGCGGAGTAGCCCAAGAGGAGAAGTCCCTGCATGATCACTGCGAGGCTCTACTTTCTGATCTCGATTCCGTCGTCTCCGAATTTACTGCTTTGATTGTCAACAGCAAAAGACGTCGTTCGCCGCAACCCCCATCCGCTGGGGGTGCTTCCCGCTTGAGTATCGAAACGACATCCACGGACGAATTCTTTGATGCTGAGGACGCGAAATCTGGCGTCGTCAAGATAGATGGCAGCGAAGACGAATCCGCCGAGACTGAGGCTGAAGAGGAATCTATTCACGAGAGTTCATCCATATCCTCAATCGAAGACGAAGATGGAGTTGGTACAGAAGGTACTGGTGATGTTTACCCCGTCAGGCCGAAGAATCTCACTCCTCTCCCCCTTGACCAAGTCGTCACTCGAAGAACCGGAATACCGCCAGCGCTTGTCCAACCACCAAGCCTTATCGCATTCGTTCGCAAGAACGTCGGAAAAGATCTTAGCACGATTAGCATGCCCGTGTCTGCCAACGAACCCATATCGTTGCTTCAGAAGGTTGCCGAGCCACTTGAATATGCGCAGCTTTTGGACAAGGCATGCAGACAGAAAAGCCCAACAGAACGAATACTCTTTGTTACGGCTTTTGCTGTGTCTCAATTCAGCGGCGGTCGAGCCAAAGAACGAGCCATTCGAAAACCATTCAACCCCCTTCTTGGTGAAACGTTTGAACTGGTCAGAACAAACAAAGACATTCCTGGGGGGTTTCGACTGCTCGTGGAAAAGGTTCAGCATCGGCCGGTGAGGCTGGCCATGCAAGCCGACTCGGCAAACTGGTCATTCTCGCACTCACCAGCTCCGGGACAAAAGTTCTGGGGAAAGAGCGCCGAAATCACCACCGAGGGTCGCGTCCGAGTTGTCCTTCGCTTGGCAGACGGCAGTGATGAGCTATACTCGTGGAACATAGCAACCATGTTCCTGCGCAACGTTGTCATGGGTGAAAAGTACGTCGAGCCTGTAGGATCAATGCACGTAGTCAACGACACCACCGGCCACAAAGCCAGTGTTGAGTTCAAGAGTAAAGGCATGTTTGGTGGCCGTGCCGAGGACGTCTACGTGACTACATTCAGCCCAGACGGCAACGACACAGGCAGCGGCCTCGTGGGGACTTGGACCGGTGGCCTCAAAACCATTGGCCCCGGTAAAGCAGCCAGCGAAGAAATCTGGGAAGTCGGCAAAATGGTGGACAACACATCTCAAACCTACGGCATGACGCTTTTTGCAGCGCGTCTCAACGAAATCACTGAAATCGAAAAGGGTAAAATGGCCCCGACAGACACGCGACTCCGTCCAGACCAGCGTTTCGCTGAAAAGGGGGACTTGGACGAAGCTGAGAAGTGGAAACATAACCTTGAGGAGGCACAGCGTGCTCGGCGCCGGGAAATGGAGGACAGGGGAGATGTACATCGGCCCAGGTGGTTTGTGAAGGCGGACGATAGTCCCGACGGCGAGGAAGTATGGAAGATAAAGACGGGCAAGGATGGGTATTGGGAGGAAAGGGCCAAGGGGAATTGGAGCGGTGTACAACAGTTGTTTGATGTGCCCGAGTTGTAGACGGTAGTGTTTTTTCCTTCTTCTTCTTGGGTAGAGCGGTTGAGAGTACATGTGTTGGAACCGGGCTTGCTCCTGACATATCAGTAGAGTCAGCGGAGGACGTCTACACTCTGCATACAAATGACGGTCATTCTCATATAATATACCAGGAGACGTAGACGGTGGCTGTAACTCACTGCATACCAATATGTGCTCTTGTTGTATAGAGCCGATAGACCCCCCCCCCGGGAGGGGAAAGGCAACCAGGGCATTTTAAGCCATTATGATTGTGTTTCTCAGAATGACTCAAATGCCATAAACGTCATTCACACTCCGAGACGGTGAGCTCATACTCGGCCGAGAGCATAGGAAATTGAATGCTTGCAACACTTGTGTATAACGGGTTGAAACGGCGGGGAAATGCCCTCATAGTTCAGAAAAGGCATGCGTAACGGGAGAC